CCGCCAGTCTCTGATGCACGGCGCTGCACACCTCCCGCGCCCCTCGTGCGCCTAGGCGCGAGTGCCTGGAGAACAGCGCGCCCAACGCTCAGAAGACACGCTGCGCCTGCAACCCCGGCACCTACGCAATGTTCACTGGCCAGACGCCGCGCTGCGTGGCCTGCCTGCCGGGCAGCTACACCGACGAGCCCAACCAGCGCGTGGCCTGCAAGCTCTGCCCGATGGGCGAGACGACCAACGCCGAGCGCACCGATTGCAGTGAGCGACCCAGCTGGTTCCAGCTGCATCGCTGACGGATGCGACGTCAGTGTCATGTGTATTCCATTCTCATGCCCAAACACACACTGGCCTTGCTTGCCAACGCGGCGTGCAGGGCTGGTATGATGCCCCATCCTTGACGCCCCACCCCCAGATAACACGCCGATGTATAAACCACCACCAACAGAAACCAACACGTGCGCCTGCACAATGACACAACGCGTGCGCGCACACACGCACTGATAATCGAATTTAGTTGTTCACACACATCATCATGCCAACCACCATCTCTGCATCCCCAACCAGTGCCCTTCATGGAGGCCTTCTCCGAGGCCAGGAACCAGGCCTCCAAGACGCCCAAGGTGGTGGTCTCGTCGGTCAAGCCCGCCGTCGCCGATGCGCAGGCCGCCCTCGACTCTACGCTCTCCGGCGCCGCCGCACGCTTCAACGAGCTCACGGGCCGGGCAGCCAAGACTGGGGGTGCCGCCGCGGAGGCTTTTGCGGAGAAGAGGGCGGAGCTGGCCGAGGGGCTGGCCAAGCTCAAGGCCCCCCACTTCCCCAGCCTGCCAAACCTGCCGGCCCTCCCCAGCCTGCCCAGCCTCCCGAGCCTGCCCAGCCTGCCCAACCTGCCCAACCTGACTGTTGCGGAGGGCCTGGCGAAGATCAAGCCGCCCCACCTGACCAACCCCTTTGGCGAGATCAAGTTCCAGAACATCACAGACCAGTTCAAGGGGGCACTGGCGGACGCGTTTGACAACGTCAAGAAGAGCACCGGCCTCGACAAGTTTGTGAGTGCCCTGCCATGTGCAAACACATTGTGTGCATTGCGTAGCCTGCTGTTTTGGCGGGTAGTCTAAGGCGCCCTCGTTGTCAGCGGGGGGCTCTTCGTCTGACCTCCGCATCTCGCAGGCTGTCTGGCACGCCTCAGCCACGGCGCAACTTGCCATCCTCCGCCCACCAGACCTCCCTCTCACCCCACCAACCACCCGCCAATGCAAACTCACATGCATCGCCGGGCATTTTCATAAAATCAATTCTCATTGGTTTGCAAATTAACCCCCTCCCCACTCGCCCGCCCAGAACGGCACCATCCCCCCGATGAAGGACGTCCCCGGCCTTGAGAACGGCGCCTCCAGCAGCAAGGAGGCCCTCTTCAAGCTGGCCAAGGGCCTGGCCGCCGACAAGAACGTGCAGGAGCTGTTCCTCAAGACCATCCCCCAGAACATCAAGGACGCCCTGGACACAGTCAACGCCATCACCACCCCCGCCACGGTGGGGCCCGCCGCTCCGTGATCAGAGCAAACGGCTGGCGGCAGCTGTCCGGGGGTCCACAGCTGGCGGCGCACGTGACAGGGCAACCATGCCCGTTTTGTGACAAGTACGCATGAATCATGCTGGCCAGCATGGGCCAGCACACACAAATGGCATGTAGCCATCATTCCGTTGTTTTCGTCAATGTATTGATACCCGCCCTTCCCCTGATACCTGCGAGACTCTATTCCATGATTTGTTGGTCCACGGGGTGAGAGATAAGCTCCTGGTCTTTCAATCCTCTCCATCCATTCAACCATCCCTGGTGGCCGTCTTGCTGCGCTGCCTCCGCCCGCTTCACCAATTTGCAAATCATCAGGAATGCTTGTCCTGCCGTGTTACCCTCGCGTGCAAGGCTCCTGAAGCCTGCCGTTGCAACAAAAACGTCACCTCACCCTGCTTTTCTTATGCCTGACGACCTTGTAATCAATCAGTAGCAGCAGCAACACCAGCAGCAGCAGGGTAGCAGCAGCAGCAGCAGCAGCAGCAGCAGCAGCAGATGCTGCAGCAGCAGCAGAACTGGCAGCAGGTGTCACTGCCTACAGCCCATGTGCATAGCCATAGCCATTCAGCCAGTCTCTGTCTGGCTGCGTTTTTCTCTGGCATTGACTGTCCCCACCCTGAATTGTTCTGCCTGGGGCGCCGCTTCACCTGCACACCCACGTAGCTCGTAGGCGTGTACGTTGCCCCCCCCCCACCGATGGCAATGGTGGCAGCGGCCGTGCTTGATTGTGTTTGAACTGACTATCGCAGGCTCGCTGAATGTGCCTGGATCGTTTGGGCTTGTAATGCTCAAAGGAAGCACCAGCGTCAATAGTAGCGGCAGCAACTGACGAAATGCCTCTTGAGACACAGGCTGGCATTGCAGACATTCACCCGCCTTGCGCTCAATGGATGTCCGCCGCTTTGCACCGCCGCCAACCAAAGGCCACGTTCCACCCCACATAACGAAGAGCCGGGACTAAACAGAAAGCCAGCTGGTCAGTAGATGACGCTTACACACGTTGCACGCGCAGCAGCATGTGTTCCAATTCACATAGCAGCCTCCTGTAAAATGAGACCCAAGCTTAGACGTACTGGGACACCATCGGCGCCTTGCAAGCAACACAGATGTTGTTGTCCAAATTGGCAGCTTATGTTGCCGCCTATCACAAGCTCAGCCCTGCCGTAGCCGGCTTTGACTGAGGCGGCTGCCCCGAATGCGCCGCCTCCAGCTCCGCCCTGCGTGCTGCCAGCTGCGCCAGCAGGCCACTCAGCTCCTCCACTGACGCCGCAAAGCCGGCCGCCTCCACCCGCTGCACTTCACCCGCACAGCCACGCTCCATCGGCGAGCCTGCAGGCGGATGCGCAGTTGCAGTGATGCTGATGTCCAGCAGGGTGCCAGCTGGCCCCTGCTCCCGCTGCTCTTCCTGCTGCTTCTGAAGCTGCTGCTGCTGCTGCTCCTTCTCCTGCTCCGGCTGCTGTTGATTCTGGTGCTGTTGTTGGTTCTGCTGCTGCTGCTGTTGCCGGTTTCTTGGCTGCTCTTCTTCCGCATGCTGCTGTTGCCCCTCCGCCTCCTCTCGGAGCGGCTGTTCCACAGGCGTCGCCCCTTCCACCTGCACCTGCTGTCTTCCCTCTTTCGCCTCCTCCCCCTCCTCCACCTCATGTGGCAGCTGCCCAGGCCACCCCGCCCCTGCTGCAGAACTGCTGTTGTCAGCTCCAACGCCATGGCCATCTGCTCTGCTGCTGGGAGCATGGCTTGCCTCGTCCGGTCGCGAGGAACTTCGCGTGGTGGCGCCTTCCTGGCATCGCCGCTGTGTCTGCATTGCCTGATTGCCACCCTTTTCTGCTGCCCTGCCATGTGCGGCAGCATGTGCTGCCTTGTCCCGCGCCCCCTGCCCAGCGCCCTGCTGCCGCTTCTGCGGCGACATTGGCGGCAGCAGCGACTGCTGGGCTTCAGCTGCCATAGCAACCTCTGTGTCGGCAGCGCCTGAAACTGGACCCCCACTCTGCAAGGTGCATGACACCCCAGCCTCTTCGCCACTGCGGCTGCTGCGGCTGTCCGAGGCGGCGCAGCCGGGCGATGCCACTGGTTCACCACCTGCCGGGGCCACTTCAGCCGCAAACACTGGGCCGCCCTCATCAGAGCCGCCCAGCTGCTGGCACACCCCCAGCAGCACCACAGCCGCCGGCGCGGCCGGACCGTCATTCATCAGGCATTGCGAGGCGCTCGCACACAGCATGTTTCCTGGGCTGCCAGAGCAAGCACCTCCAGCGGCCCTGCTGCCCGCAGCTGCTCTGGGCGATGAGGAATGAAGCAAGTCACAAGAGATGCCGTTGCCTTGGGCGACAGGGGAGCCTTGCCTCTCGCTGCCAGGCGCGGCAACAGGGCTGCCCGCACGGGCTGCAGGCCGCCGTGCTGGACAGGCCCTGCTGCCCATGGGGCTGCCGGGTGTTGGAGGGTGCGCCGCCTGAAAGCGCTGCTGTGCCATCACGTCCACTGCTGCATCCAACCCCGCTGGAACAAAAGTGGCTGGGATCCCCTGCTCAGGCCCAGGGCTGGCGGCGTTGGCCACTCGGCCAGCCAAGGCTGCTACTGTGACGCAAGCTGGCTCATGTACGCCGAAATGGTTGCTGTAGCCGCTGCCACTGTCGCTACTGCCGCGCCACGCTGCTACAATACTGCCACCGCCCTGTCTTGCTGAGCACCCACTGACACTGCTCCTGCCTGCGGCGTAGTACGTCGGGGCCTCGCGCACACTGCTGCTTTCTGGGAGCTCCCGACATGCTGTGTCGGGCACTGCTGCTGTGTCATGTCGGTCCTCATGAGTGGTCCATCCTGCTGCAGCAACCTTTTGCGATGCAGCCGCTGAGCCAGCAATCACTGCCGTTGCCTCAAGTGGACGGGAGAGCGCACACCGCGTCGCCGGCGCGAGCAGCATCAGATGAGGGGCGGGCAGAGCTGCCTCCAGTGCCGCCAGCTCGTCTCTTGCGGCATGCATAAATCTTTGTACGCGCCAGCGCCGCCAGTTGGATTGAATAATGAGCGTAGCTGTACCCTCGTCCATTTCGAACTACGGTATCGAGATCTGGACTCCAGCTAACGATTCGGTAGCGTGTGATACTTCGATATTCTACATTACATATGTTCGTCATTCGAACTTGAAAATTGCGGTGACCACTGCACAGCAGATCAACTCAATCTCGCAAAATATTTGCAAACATGGCGGCCAGTAGTGCCATTGACAAGGCCATAGCCAAGCTCGACGCCATCTTGGCTGGGGTGGCAGCCTCGGCATCAGCTGCACAAGTGCCGGCTGCAAGCACAGCAGCAGCAGGTGCGGTCTGCGGCAGGTGCCAAGAGCCTGGCGACCGGACACGGCATTTGGCACTCAATGGCTTCTAGCGACCATTGCCACCACCCACAGAACCAATCCGATTGCACCGCAGCAGCACCTGCCAGCGCTCCTGCGCCTGCAGCAGCCAAGCCCGCCAAGGCAGCTGCCTCCAAGCCAGCGACGCCCGCTGCAGCTGCTGCGGGCGACCCCACCGCGTTCCAGGCCAAGGTCCAGATCAAGGTGGGCAAGCAAAGCACCCCGGATGTGATCCCCAAAAGGCAGGCAGCCTTTGCAAGCATGGCTGCCAGTCCGCGTGCTGCTGCCACTGCAGAGCTGGTAGCAACCCCCAACTCAATGACGCGGTGCTTCACCTCGAGAGGCGCAGAACCAGCATAGCAACGCTGACAAAGACGCGCACATGCATGCATGCATACACTGACATGCATGAAGCAGACAGGCGCACTTGAATCAATGCTTCCTCTTCCTCCGCCCTGCCTGGCAGGTGGCGCGCATCCTGAGCGCAGTGCCGCAGCCAAACTCTGAGAAGCTGCTCAAGCTCAGCGCAGACCTGGGGGCAGGGGACACACGCCAAATCATGGTGCGCACGGCTGCTCTCCACGTCGGGCGGTGGGGCTTGGGCGACTTAAACCCGGCGGGCATCTGCGCAGCAGCGTTTACTGGTGTCCTCCACAGCCAGTGCAAGGTAGTTTTGAGGGAATGCCGCGTCGCCGTTCCTGGACCATAAAACCTCAAACCACAATCCAAACCCACCCACCAGGCTGGGCTGCAGCAGTACCTCAAACCCGAGGACCTGGTGGGGAAGCTGCTGTGCGTGGTCTCTAACCTCAAGCCCGCCAAGCTGGCTGGTGGGAATGGGGGGAGGGCAGATGACCCCCAGAACACTCAGCCCACGGGCGGTGCTGTGCGGCTGTGTACCACATGCAGGAGTGACCATTGCTGCTTGTTGTTATCTTGTGATAGAGCGTTTGCTTGGGCCATCTGGTTGCTTTGTATGACATCCTGCCCGTTGGATTCCCTGGGCACCCCGGTCAATCCTCCCAAAAGCTGCGCCTTGACGACTCAGCAACAAAAACAATCGCCGTGCCCGGCCATCAGGAGAGCCATCAGAGGCGATGGTGCTGGCGGCAGAGGGCACTGGCAGCGGGGGAGAGGCTATCGTGCGGGCACTGGTGCCACCGGGTGGGTTGCTGCTCGTACGGGGAGCCGGTGGGCCTGGGAGCCTGATGCTACTGCATTGCAGCAGGTCGCCTGCAGTGTTCTGCAGGGTCCTAGCTGAACTATTGTTTGTCCTTTGGGGTCCCCACCCCTGTCGAGGCAGCCAGAGGGGTGGCCCTATCGCGCCCGGTACCAGCTGCTGCGTCGCGCGTTCGCCTTGTTACCTCCTCCCCAACCCCTCCTGCTTGCAACACGCCATGTGCGCACCCGTTTACCCACCGCAGAGGGCTCCCAGCCTGGCGACCCTGTCCACCTTGACGGGGCCAGCCCCGTGGCCAACCCCAAGGTGCTCAAGCTGGACGAGTGGCGCAAGGTGCGGGGGCTGGGGTGTGGGTTGGACCGCGGCACGGTAATCCCCCGCTGCTTGTTACAGTCAACGCCCTCGCCCCTTCATGCCGCTCTTACCTTTCGATTTGAAGGTGTAAATATTTAGGAATGTCGACAAGCGCCGCAACACCACCACTGTGCAGGTGTCACCTGGTCTGGTCGTGGCGGGCGGGCACGCGACGTATGGCGGCACGGCTCTGATGACGGCGCGGGGGTACGTGACGCTGCCACCTGAGATTACAGACGGCTGCGAAATCCACTGATTCAGGTGGTTCATGGGCAAACTTGGCCTCACCCAACACATTTTATTTGTGAAATATTTTCACATATATTTTATGTAAGTGAAGCAGGATAGGACACAATATCACAGCTTTCGGTATGCTGTGAGATTGCAGCACGCAGCGCGCGGCATATCATGACTTGTGGTTTCAGCTTTAATCATGCAGGGGAACTTCAGTATGTCGAATAGCATAATGCATCCAACGATGCCACATGTGGCCGACGGCAGACGATGAATGAGTTAAGTATTGGCCCCTGTCAATCGTTGGACTGTTTTTGACTGCGTGTGAGCCAAGTTTATTGAGAACAGCATCTACAGAGCAGTGTCACCAGATGACTTCTGCCTAATAACTTCGTCCTTCTCCAGCACCACGTATATAGGGGCGCAGCTCTTTGCACTTGCTGACACGTGGACAGAGGCCGAGAAGGAGTCACCAGTCTCACCACCAGATCGGGATGGACCTGTGCTGAGCATTACAATGAATTGATTGATACAATCGAACGAACATTGATAATATTCGGGGCAATTAGTGCATGTGTGCTGCCCCAAAGCTCAAGTGCCCCGTTCAACGGGGCGCGCCCCGTTGCAACGACACTGCCACCAAACGTTTTGGCTTGATGTGTATATTATATCAGTAATTTGCTTTCCCCCGCAGGCATGGAGATGGTGAAAATGATCTTCACTTTGGCCTTTGGCCTCATTATCCTGGCTATGCTGGGCGTTTATGTCCAAATCAACGTTGATTTCGATACTCCGGAGGAGGCAAACGCGGTGTGGGATCGGATTCAAGCAGATCCCAGCATGGTGCCGCTCGACCGCGAGACTGCTGCCGCGCCCAACGACCCCGCTGGGGCACAGCAACCTCCCAGACCCTCAAAACTTGGTGAGATTCATTTCTGTTGCGCGCCGTGGTCTCTGGTGCGTGCCGCACCCCAGTCCAGGAGACCGGCACAGGTGTCACCAAGCCAGTTCAAACGCACGCGTGCGCGCACTGCTTCCCCTGCATTGCAGGTGCTGCGCCACACCCCAATAGCGACGAGGACGCAGAAGATATTGGGGCGGAGTGCTGTGCAGGTGCGGGGTCCCGTTGAAGAAAGTATCTGCACTTGCCTACACAGGTTTGCGTGCTTTGGTGCTCAGCTGCGCTGCCCCGCTACCGGACTGTCACCGCCACACTCTGTTGCAGCCATCGCTGCTGCTGCCCGCCAGACACCGTGATAGAGCCAGCAAGGTGTCCCGGCAGCATGTTTGCGGATGTTGTCCTGCACGGGAGAGACGAGTCGGCATCTCTCGCCTCCTCCCCGAAGATGTACCAACGCCCCACACCTATTGCACCCATCCGCGTGCTCTTGGCAGGCTTGAGCCACCACGGCCTTGAATTTGTGAGCATGCTTCGGTTGGCCAGCGGCAAGCCGCCAGTGTGCACGGCAGACGCGCTCGGACAGCGAGACCAAGCCACGGCGCAAATGCGCGCCGACCTCAGCCTTTTCAAGCAGCGCAGGGCCAACGCTCGACGCGAGAAAAACAAGGGGGCGCCACAGTACCAGGTTGGGGACACCGTCAAGGTCCACATCGGTGACAAACTGGCCAAGCGCTTGCCTCTGAATGCACGCAAATGGGTACCGGCTGTCGTTCAGAAGCGCAGCACTGGCAACATGTACACACTGAGAATGGCGGCTGGAGTGGTGCCTCGTATCAGAGGTGGCGACCTCAAGCCCCTTACTTACGAGCTTGCTGGGTGCTCCAGCTGGCCCACTCTCCCTTGTACTTTGGAAGCGGCAATGATAGCGGCTGTGTGCGCCGTCGGTGCGGCACATTTTTGTGCTTGCAAGGGAGGCTGCAAGACCAGAAAATGCCCGTGCGTCAAAGCCGGCACCTCTTGCTCTTCCAATTGCAGTTGCTCCATCCGGGGCTGCCACAACGGCAAACCTGGAGCCGCGGGCAGCACCCTCCCGACAGCAGAACGCCGCCCAACACGTTCTGCCCACGTTGGGGGTTGTGATGTAGAAGATGATTTGGGCTCGTCTGATCCTGATCAGCGTATAGATCGTGCACAATCCCCAACGCCAGAGCTGGCCGAGCCCCCAAGTGGTGCGGGCCCAGGCGCTGAGCCTGCGGCAACCCCCTCGCCTTGGGATCGCACGTATGAGTTTGCAAGGAATCTGGGAGGCCTCGTCAGTGTGGATGATGCACGCCGCTTTGCCGACGCTGCACATGCGCCTACGCAGTTTGCACAAGAGCTGCCCCACACGTACATGCTGTCCTCGGGCCAGATCTACCACGAGGAGTTGGATGCACACGTCATGCGCTCGTTTGACTTTGGCCAGCACCTGACTGACACTGCTGTGACGCTGAGCATGGAGATGATATTTTATGGCGAGCCTGGCGTCTTGGTTATGCCTGCCGCTCCTTTGGCCGCCGCCCTGGCTTCGCAGCGTGGGGGCCTTGCCATGATGCGGCATGTGTTGAATTGTGCCAAAGACCGGCACAAGTGGGTCCATCTCATGCATCTGATCCTCGCCAGGCAGCTTAGGCACGCGCCGCCCGCCCTGACACAGTCCCCTAGTCACGCTTGTATCATTGTCAGAGCCGCTAGCGTGCTCGGGGCTCCAGTCGGCATCGCTCAGATCATTCATCAGTCCAAGTCAGTCTGCGCGCCGCTTGGCCACATCTGTTGTGGATAAGGTTTGTACCATCACCAACAACCTTTCTGTACCGCTCGCGTTGCAACGGGGCAGGGTCCCCTGTTGCCCCGGGGCAGCAGGTAGCTACGGGGCACACCATATGGACCACACCTTGCCGACGGTGTAGAGTGCACCGAGAGAAGCGGCTATCCGTTGGATGTTGCTGAGGCGTGGTTTGAGGCTACACCAAGTTATCTGCAATTGTAGGGCACCCGCTGCTCAGCGCTGGTGCTCGCCGCGCCGCGGCCGCTGCGGCGGTGGCCGCGCCGTCGCCTGCACCAGCCGCTCCGTCCCGTGGGCGAGCGCGCAGCCGCCGGCACATCATGCTGCGGTAGTGCAGGCCGCCCGCTGCTGCGCCACATCGGCTAGCAGGGGCGGCAGCAGCACCTTGGCAGCGGCAGCACAATCAGATGGCACCATTGCGTCTGCGGAGGACACTCTCGACACGCCCTTTGCGTTTCGGGTGGCGCTTCAGCAGCTCGGCGGCAAGGTGCGCGATGCAGTGGCCCCTGCACTTTCTTTCTGTTGTGCGTGCCTCCCTGCATTTGCGGCGTGGTGCCTCCGCACAAATGGCTGCTGCGGGCCCCGGCCAACTAACTCAGAAGACTCGGTATACAACATTCGATCGCGCCGCCACCAACCCCTCTGCTCGAACCCCTGTGCCCTGCTTTGAGCCCCGCCACCTTTCCCCGCGGCTGCCCTCCCCAGCCCAAGGTCCGCCTGGACGCCTACCTGTCTGCCCAGCTGCCGGACGCCAGCCGCGCCAAGATCCAGGCCAGCATCAGGGCTGGCCTCGTCAGCGTCAACGGCGCCCCCGCGGCCAAGCCCTCGGCGACCGTGCGGGCGGGGGACGAGGTCGCCTGCAGCCTGCTGCCGCCGGAGCCGTGCACGGTGAGGCAGAGGGGGGCTGCGGGTTGCGGGGCAGAGCGCCCACCTGGTGGGCGTTTTTAAGTGAGACAGCCGGCCTGCGAATGCGTGCAGTATCGGCCCCGCGCGTGCGGCTCGCCTCTCGAGGGCCTCCTGTTCCGCCAGCAGCTTCCAGCCTCAACACGGGCCGCACGCCCTCGACCCACGCACTAATTGATGTTCTGCAATGGGATCGCGCCCGCTTATCTTCCCCTCATTTTGGCGCCAGGCTGAGCCTGAGTCGATCCCGCTTGATGTGGTCTACGAGGACCGCCACCTCATCGTGGTCAACAAGGTGAGGGAGGGCAGGGGGCGGGGGGCAGCAATCGGGGTCCCTCGGGGTGGGATCAGCTGCGGCATGGGAATGGTTTGACCAGCCCGTGCGCGCTGTCAGGCCGCTCTTTGCTCCCTCACGAGTCATGTCAAGCCGGCCGCGCCTGCCCCCTCCCCCAAAATTACGCATGCTTTACACGCCTGCACACATGTTGACACATAAGCATGCACGCATGCATTCGCTCGCGCCCCGCAGGCCCCGGGCATGGTGGTCCACCTGTCCCCCGGCCACTCGCGTGGCACCCTGGTCAACGCGCTGCTGGGGCACTGCGGGCTGCCGCCCATGACGGTGGCCAGCGGCAGCGCGCGCGCGGGCGGCGGCGGGCTGCTGGCGGGGGGCGACTCGGAGGGTGACGACGATGATGGCGATGATGGTTGGTGACGGGGAAATGGGGTCTGGTTGTGCAATCGAATTTCTTATTGTTGGAAGGCAAGGCGGCGTAGTTGAAGGGGGGGGGGTTGAAGTGACGAGAGGGGCCGCAGCCTTGACTGAGTGCTGCCTTGCGGCTGGGGTGGTTTGTCCGGTCTGCCAATTGCCCTCTTACCGCATTGGTGCGCCCATGTCAGAGTTGTATGACGAAGACGCTGACGCCGAGGGAGAAGGGGCCGAGGAGCTGCTTGATCGATCACAACAGCAGCAGCAGCAGCAGCAGCAGCAGCAGCAACAGCAGTCGTCGAGACCGTCAGCAGCAGCAAGAAACGGATTGCCAGAGAAACCTGGGGCAGGGGCAGTGGATGCTGCAGCGGTGGCTGCGTCGCCGGCGCCGCCGCCGGGCGTGCTGCGGCCGGGCATCGTCCACCGTCTGGACAAGGGCACCAGCGGCCTCATGGTGGTGGCCAAGGACGACCTGGCCCACACGCGGCTGTGTGAGCAGTTCAAGGCGCGGACGGTGAGCTGCCGGCAGAGGCTTGGTGGGGGGCGCCGGGATCACGGATAAATGATGATGATGATGACACACTCAAGCTCGGCTGGCCAGCCGTGGCGCCGATGCCAGCGGGGTGCTGTAAATAGCTGTGGTCGAGGATTACAGTCTTGATGTCAGTTCCTTGCTGCCGCTCTGCACCTGTCCAACACGCCTGCACACCAAGAGTTGTAAGCCACCACAAAATCTCCCTCCTCTTTCTGCTCCTCGCCCCGCCCGGCAGGTCTCGCGTATCTACCAATCAGTCACCCTGGGGGCACCCTCCACCCCCAACGGCCGTGTCGCGACCAACATCGCCCGCGACCCCCGGGACCGCCTGCGCATGACGGCGCTGGGCTATGGCGCCGCCAGGGGCAGGACGGCGGCCAGCAACTACCGCCTGCTGCGGCGGGTCGGGGGCGGCGCGGCGGCGCTGGTCGAGTGGAAGCTGGAGACGGGGCGTACCCACCAGATCAGGTGGATGCAGGGATGCAGGGGGGGGGCACATTCCCCATGCGATGTGGCCTGAAATGAGCCATTCATGGCTTCGCGCACATCCCTTGGATAACTGACTTGAAATATTTGTTATCGCTTGAGCTGTGACACGGGAGCGGCTGCACCGCCACAAATCAAATGATTTGCAACGCGTACGGGGCGTGGCCCGGGGATGCAGCATTACACAACACGACACCCCACTCTACCCGGCCCTTTGGCCACTTGCGTCGAACCCTTGTGTCTCGCAGGGTCCATGCAAAACACATGGGCAACCCACTCGTGGCGGATGACACGTACAGCCCCGGCAATGCTGCCGCCGCCCGCGCGCTCGCCGGCCGGCGCGCCAGCCTCGTTCCCGGCATCAAGGCCGCCCTTGACGCATTCGGCCGCCCCGCGCTGCACGCTCTCACGCTGGGGTTTGACCACCCTTTTACCGGGGAGCGGCTTCACTTTGAGGCGCAGCTGCCTCCCGATTTTCTGCAGCTGCTGCAAGAATTGGACCGGCTGCTCGAAGGGGGCGGCGGCGGCGAAGTGGGTGGGGGGTAACGCTGACGGCGGTTCACTGCTGCATTTCAATATTTGAATAGGCCTTCATTGATTCAAACTGTCACACGGACTTTGCAAGCTCACATGACCCCTTCATGGTTGTTTCTTGCAACTCCACCCGGCCGCCCCTGCCCCCTCATGCCCCCAGCAATGTGCCACGATGGACGCATGCAGCAACTGTAAGGTCGTCTGTCACAGCCACGGTGCCGCATTCAAACCACGCCTGCCATGCAACTAAGCTCGTCAGTAGCCTCAAGGAGGGAGCACCACCCCTGCTGTGTTCCAATGGGGGCACATGTGGGGGCTCTGGCAGCAATGGGTCCGGTTGCGCACTGGAATGCAAGTGTTTGTTTTGGCAGTTTGGCTGAAAATCAAAGGTGATAGGCTCTATATGTATGTATATACCACCTGCAAAGGGCTGTACGGCTGCCAGTCCCTCTGAGGCAGGGGTCGGCTGCTCCTGATGAGGGGGGTGGGGGGGAGCCAGCCGGTGGATTGCTGGGCAGCTGCACTGCACACAACTTGAGCACGACGACTGTCGTCTTGCTGTTTATATTACAGAACAGTGACTCTTCTTTATAATATGCGCGATATAGAAGTGCGCGGCCTGTCCAGCTGCAGTATCATGTTCTGAGCGCGCTTGCAGCTCGCGCAAGTCAAACTCGACATAGCACAAGCTCATATAAAAAAGACTATGGAACGCAATGGGGCCCTTCTGCTGGTGGTGGCGCTGACAGTGCTGCTGGCTGCGCACGGCGCGCACGCGGTCGGCCTGCCGCTGCACCTGCGCTGGGTTCGCTCTGCCCTCCCAGACCCGGTGCGTGCGCCGCCGCTGCGCCTGGTACTCACGCCCCTTGCCTTGCAAATTTGCCAGTCGTTCACGCCCCAAGCCTGAAGCAGCAGCGCATGCTTGCTACACCAAACCACCTTGCCTGCTGCGACTTGTGCCGCGCCGTGCCGTGCTCCGCAGGTGCTGCCCGCGCTGTCAGCGTGGGCCGACACCCTGCCCACGCAGCTGTGCCAGCTTGGAGCCAAGGGGCTGGCGCAGGTGCCCCTGCAGCTGGCGGACCAGCTGTGCCCTCTCAAGGCTGCCGCCGCCCTGCTGCCGCGCCCCTCGAGCCAGCGCGCCGCCCTGGACTTGCTCGCCGCGTCCCCGCGCACGGCCGGCGGCGCGGCGGCGCTGCTGGCAAAGGGCGGGAACGCCACCCAGGCCGCGGCGCTGCAGGCGCGGCTGTGCGGGGTCCTGCTGGACCCTGTCAAGGCGTGCGGTCTCAAGCTGCCCAAGGGCGCCAACCTCACGTCTGCCCTTGGCGGCGCCTTTGCCGCGCACGTGTCCAAGGCTGCGCCCACCTATTGGCAGGGCTTCCTGGCGCGCGCGGGCGCGCCGTTTACCTGGCGGGGCGCGGCGGCCCCCAAGGCGGCCGGCAACCAGACGCGGGTTCAGGGCGGCAAGGGAGTGGAGTATGAGGGGTCCAACCTGCTGTACCGCCTGCTGGTGCGGTCGTTCCAGCGGTGAGCTCATGAGAGGGGCGGCGCCATGCTGTGCGGGATGCCGCCAGCAGAGGCAATGGCTGCAAAGGAAGGACGTGCAGGGTCATTAGCACGCGCCACAGTCCATGTTTTGAGCAGAGCTTGCTGCGGCGTCAACCAGCTGTTGTGGCGGCGGCTGTGACGGGTGATGTGGCGGCTGATGTGCCGGCTGCGGTGCTCGACACGCGGTCACGCGGCGCCACCGCCTGGCCGCAGGTTCACCGCCCTGGGCGACGCCAAGGTGGCCAAGGCGCAGGCCTACCTGCCCCCCGCCCTGCAGCCCATTGCGCAGCGCCTGCTGGAGTCCCTCCCCTCCAAGATGTGCGAGCAGCCGCGGGCGGCGCTTGCAGCAATCCCGACCACTTGGAAGGACGCCGTCTGCCCGTTTGGCATGGTCGTCTCCCCGCTGTCCGCCGCGGCCGCCGGGTTCAAGCCCTGGGGGATGGTGGTGGCGGCCGTGGCCTACAACGCCTCCCTCGCTTTCGACAATGCCATCGAGCAGCCGACGCTGTCGACGTCGTGGGACGCCAACGGCACCAAGATAATGTACCTCGGGGGCTATGACGAGGAGGAGGGGGGGCGGCTGGTGACCGGGGAGCCGGGTGCCATCATTGCCGAGGCGATGAGGACCGACCCGAGGTACCGGGCTGCATTCAACCAGGTGGGTTGGATTCAGGTGGTTGACGGTCTGTATGTCTGCGGGGTGGCTCGCTGGCGGCCTTGGCCTGCAGCTCGCAGGCCAAGACTGTATTCTTTTGGTTCTGCGTGTTGGGGAGCTGAGGCTGGAGCCAGGCACGAGGGACAGTTGGAGACCACGCGCACCCCGATGTGTGATCATGCACGTATGTGTCTGTGTGTGTGCACGTGCATGTGCGACTCTGTGTGTGTGTGTGTGTGTGTGTGAGTGTGCGTGCGTGCGTGTGTGTGTGTGTGCGTGCGTGCGTGCGTGTGAACGCAGGAGAGAGACCTCTTGCGCACCAAGAGGCTGCTGGTGACAGCTGGCATGTGCCATCACAGTGAATACCGTGCGTGGTAACCCCTGCCACCACCGCAGGACAAGATGTCCTCGTGGGTTGCCCGAATGTGCGCCGTGGTCTACGCACCAGGTGGGTGGCCCGGCGCTGCCACAAGCAGCAGGAGATGCTCCCTGAACTGCAGCCGTACAGACACGCAGCGGCTCTGCGCTTGAGCCGCCCAGCCGCAAATGAGCAACCCACCTGCTGCGCAGCCTGGCGCCCCCATCCCCCCCCCCTGCCACCCTCAACCACAAGCGCAAGAGACCATGATACGCACCACGATTGCAGAGCGTCGATGATGACCAACCTTGCCTCGCCCCGCTGCCCCGCTTCTCGACCCCACGGCTGCAGAGATGGCCTGCAACTCGACGCTCAAGATGCCGTTCACCCAGATCGGCACGACCCTTGACCCCGTGGTCCAGATCACGCAGCTGCTGTCAGCCGCCCCCGCCGGCGCCGTCGACCCGGCCCTCCTGAGGATCGACGCCCGCCGCTTCACCAGCGTCGCGGCCGTCAAGGCGGCCCTCGCAGCGCTACCCGAGGCGCGCCGGGAGGCCCAGGCCGCGCGGCTGCGGGCGTGGCTGGAGTCTGTGCCGGGGCGCGTCAACGCGACCGGGGCGCGCGCGGGGGTGAGGTGGTACGGCTGGCTGACGCCGTTTGTGTGCAAGGTGCGGCTGCAGGACTTCAAGATGGGGGAGAATGAGACGAGCCTCTGGATGGACCTCAACCCGGTGGGGCTGGCCATCCGCATGGCGCTCAGGTGAGAGCCCGCCGGTACTGAGCACAATGTGCTTGGTCGTGTTTGGACCGGGATGAGCCCGCGCGCCGCGACCAGGACAGGGCTCGCGTGCAGAGCAAGCTGAGGTTTAGCAGCATCCTCTTGGGTTCGGCTCAGCAAGCTGTGTTCGGACGCGCTGTGCTGTGCTACACAGTGAGACGCCGGACGCGCCGCAAACATATCACTCTGCAGGCTGGACGAGCCGGCAGCGGTGATGAGCGCCCTTGTGGGGGGCAAGACGGGCGGCGACGTCATGGCGCGTGCGTGCGACGCAATTTACAAGTGAGTGTGTGGGCCGTGGAGGGCGCGGCAGCCCCACCGACTGCACCTCCCAGTTACTCGTGCTTGAGTCTGTCATTGAATTCCCCTCAGGCTGCCGGGGGCTGTGAGTCTCACGCAGCCACGGGTCACCCGACTGCGTGACACACTCCCCGCCCCTCGTGCCGGTCATCTGCAGCGCCTCCGAGGCGTCAGGGGCGCCCCTGCTGACACCCTTTGATGCCGAGTACAAGGCCCGATGGCGGCGCTGCGCCAAGCGGGGCGGCTGCGGGTGGTGAAGCCCACTGGGGGCACGCCTCTGGCAGAGGCGTGCCCAGTGAGGGAGCACGACGAAACACGACCCGTGGGCGCTGCTGACAAACTCGCCAAGCAGCTGGCTGCACTGTGCATACACGGCGCTGCCAGCCGCTGTGGAGGAATATCCCAAACGAGCCCGCTGGTCAACGGGCCTTACTTCTTCGCCTCAGACGTTGTCCCGGCTCATCTCTTCCCGTGAGCGCGTGCTCACCTCACTGCTGACTCAACTTGGCAACACGCCGGCCATGGAACCACCTTCTGCCTTCCCTGACACTTACTAACCGTCACCTGCCTATCATAGAGAACATTTCAACCTGTGCACCCTTCACAGCAGCATGTTCCCAACCTCAACTTGAGGTCGTGAAGCCCTTTGTGGCGCAGCTGGGCACTGGCAATTCTTGTCTGTCGGCGAACATATGCAGACGGCCACTTGTAAGCTTTGGATACTCAACAAGAACCATGGTCTCAGCTGAGCTGAGCAGAGCAAAAGGTTGTTTGCGTGCGTGGTTGGGAGGCGTAGGCCGAGGACCTTGCAGATACGTACATGGTGGTCAAGAAGCTGCTTGGTAGGTGTGACAGCAAGCTAAGAGGATGTGCACAACTTGGCACAAGGCAACGCACTGTCGTGATTGGTTGTGTTGAGCCGGCCATCAGGGCTGGGGTGGGGCAGCCAGCGGCGAGCCTTCTGACATCCTTCAGCCATCAGGCTGGTTTGTGCTCCTTTCTTCTGAAACTCTGGTTGACTGCCTGCCTGCAGGTGGCAGTGCGTGTGCACGCGCATTTGCATGTGCTTGTGGAACTGTGTGCAAGGTCAAGTTCGTTCAAGAAGGGGGATACTGGAGCCCACCTTTGCTTACGCATGAGAACCTGGCCTTGCAATACGTGCAGCAGGCTCGCCTGACTCAATCCATTGGTGCCACTCCATCTCCCTGACAAATCAGCATCCCCTAGTGTCTGTTTCGAATCAGAGTCTGCAATTGGCAACCTTTTGACGCATCAGCAGGCCAGCCCACACGCCTGCACGTCACGTCGAGCCTCCACCCCCTGGGCACCATTGCAACACTCCAACCAAAAAGCAGGACGATGTGCCATGCCACAGCATGCATCAGCAGTGATAATGTCGAAACGGCTTGTTACTGTGCAGGGACATGCGGCGGGCAGGTTATTGCTTGTGCGCAACCGGGGGCAAACCAACGTCGCAACACAGTGGCTGAGGCCGGCTGGTGGGACAGCAATCACAGGCAGCGTCACGCGGCAATTGGCCCCACGCGAGGCGGCGGTCATTCGCCAGATCTGACAACTGATACAGCCACAACCGGCGCACAGGGCTCCCGACGGCCTCGCGCCGCCACAAATGGGAGGCCAGCCATCACACACGCACTGCGCTACCGTGAGAACGCCGGTGCACTGCAGTGGCGTTTGTTGACGGTTTTCGATGCCGCGAGCAAAATCGCTCCACCCTTGAATGCACCCGGCAACCGTGTTGAATCCACCCCCTTTGACTCTCAATGTGCACTACGCGTGAGCCGCGGCGGGGGTGATCCGGATTGGATTCACGACAGGGCGCGCACAGCACGCACACCAGTGGCAAAATGATTCGTGCTCGAGCCTCAAGCCGGCGAGGCCCCGCGACGCCTCCTCTCTGGCAGCAGGCCGCTTGGGCTCGTCGGCGCGAGGCGCACTCGCGGGGCGCGTGGGGCGCACAGCCGCCTTGGGAGGCGCAGGCGCGGCGGGGCACGCCGCAATTCTTGCTCTATTTCGCCTCGCTCTCAGCCTCCCTGAAAGGCTCTGTGCAGGCAATGTGGGAGAAAGAAGCCGCGAGGCGCTGGGCGCCGGGGCCGAGCTGGAAATGTGTTCAGGCGGCAAAGGGTAGCGTGCGGGCACAGATGCAGAAACACTGCTCACACGCCTTGGAAGGGGAGGCCGTCGCGCATGACGCGGCGGCATGCACACTCGTGATGACCGCTCTCCGCCCGCTGGGGCGCCGCGCCGTCAGCGGCCCGACCGGTGGCCCCACGCGACAAGAGAGGGGGGGGGGGTGGCAAGGGCCGCTTGCCTCGGAGATCACGAAGGGATACCCACGACCTC